TGAAATGAAAGGGTCTTACAAAATGAAATGTCTCTTGCATTATTTATTGCATGCCACGTCTGGATTTTGCTAGCTAAAAGGTTTAATTTGAATCAAAGAGAAAGGTTTTGCCTGTGGATTTTAAGAGAAGTTAAAGGTCTGACATTGCCGGAGTAGCCTCTATTAAATTTATAGACGCCAGATGGCCCCATAGCACTCACTCATCTAACAAAAAGATTTCAGTTTCCCTGTAGGGAAATAGAGAAGGAGCTGTATATGTGTGTGTATATATATCTATATATGAAATTGCTAAGCCATAACTGAAGTTCTGTAATCCATGTACATATTTTACTGTGCATTCATGTATATGTACTTCACAAATCCACACTCAGGAGTTTTCTATATATTACCAAGTATACAGTACTCACGTTTTGGGGTTTGTTTTATGTCAGATACTGGCATGGAAAAGATAATGAAGTTTTGAGGTGTCACAGAGCAGCCCAGTTCTGCAAGGCCCTTGCAGCAGCAGCAGCAGCAGCAACAAAGTCTTAGAAGGCTACTGGTACCAGTGACTTTCCTATTTCTTGAGCTTTTTGCTGTCAGTCCTAAGTGAGGTGCATTTTAGCCGTCTCAAGGCATCTTCCTATGGGGCCCAAAATCCATTTGGATGGTCTTTGTCTTTTGCTCATTTCGTTTTGAACAGGATTTGCCTACAGGATGGTCCAGCTGGCTTTGTCTATTATAAGTAAAACACCTGTTAGTAGCACAGCCAGATTTCACTATGTGAAACATGTAGGGCTTTATGGAAGAAAAAAAAAAAACAACAGAAAGATTGATGGGTAGCTTCACATGAATGCTTTTGCACACTCCAGTAAGGCTTTGGAATATGGCCTCAGGGTGCTTGATCCATTTCAGGTATTTGTAATGGGTCATAGACCATGGGCTACCAAAGGACTTTGATAGCAAAGGCATCAACAAAAGCAATTCTTCTGGTTCAAATGAGGGTCTAAACTGAGGTAACTAGATGGAAACCTTTAGCATGAGTATGCTCAGACTCCCTCAAGTTTTAGTGCAGTAAAAATTACTGCTAGCTACACTTTGATCAACATGAAGAACAGAATCTAAATCAGCTTGTCATTCCAGAAGCAAATATTAACAGAGTATCGCAAGGATTTCTCCTTGTACCAAAGGGAATCTGGTCTAACTAAAGCGTATCATAAAGTTTATTTACCTAATTTACACTATCATGTAGTACTGACAAGCAGGATCACTCTGGGCATCATTTCCCCAGCTTAAATGCTAGCCCTTCCTTCTCTTCAGAATAGCAGATCCAAAAAGATTTAAGGTCTGCAGTTAGATGTACAAAACCCATAGGGCATAAGGGATCCAGACTTATTTTGGACACAGAAGGATCATGGTGAGAACAAGGACAAAAAGGCATTCTGTTGATGAAGAGCTGAACTTTTGTTGAGTACATGCGGCAGATTGTCACAATACAAAAAATTGTGGTTTTCTGACAGCCAGACTTACAGTATCTTAACAAGGAATACAGCATTTTTGGTGACTAATGTAGGGAACCAGTTAAGTACAAGATAATGTAACAGCCACACAATTACTAGAAAAGCATGGATAACTTTGTGAAGAGCACAACAGTTGCACTGAGCAAAGAAAAGGGAAATGTGGTTTCAGGACATTTTGTTGGGGAGCTCCACACTGTCAGCACAAGGTAGAGTGCCTGGCTTCCCCAGATTAGGAACTCCATGCAGGACAAGTAGCTGGAGTCCTAAATTAAGCACTGAGAACATGCCAGCAAGGTTATTCTGATTGTGATGCACTTACAGGTTTAGTGAGGAAGTAACCTTTCCCATTGCCTTATTCTGAGCAGGGCCACAACTTGAAGTTACACTCTTCAATGGAGTTTGAGAAGGAAGAGCTTAAGACTTCAGGAATGCCTCTCCACTGAGATAGAATGGCTTTGGACTGTGGATACTAGAAGCAAGTCCTTTTTTTTAATGTAAAAAAGAATAAAAATAAGTACCAGTCCTATATACCTACCTGTAAAAAAGTGTGAATGATCCCATCTTTTCTATTAAGATCAAAGGCTAGAAAAGCTAAGTCAGGAAGGAGGAGACCTCACTTTATCCTCATTCAGAATCAACCATGCAATTTCGCCATAATGTGTAATACCTACCAGCAATGAAGGCTGTTTTGCAGCTGGAGGGAAAACCATCTTCCCTATCTCCTTTTTAAAGCTTTACTGGTAGACAGTAAGTGATTTAAGATTCATTGGGACAAGGAGACATGACAGTTTAGTTGGGTAGTTAGGATACTTATCCGAGAGTCTTGGGCTGTCTGTGTTTCATTGGCCAGCTGTAATGCCACTATTCTTAAAAGAAAGCTGTAACCAACATCTCTGCAGAGCTGGGTCCTATAGGAACAGGTGCGGTAGATGCCAAAAGAATGCACCTACTAGAGAAAGCTGGAGGGGAAGGATAAGCATATCTATATGATTAGGCACGAGCATCAGACTGGCAGGAACTGAAACCACATTGGAACAGACAGAGAACTGCAGGTATTAAAACATTGTTTAAAAATCAAATTGGGAGGAAAATAAAAATTCAATTATGTGACTCCAGTGAGAATACCTAATTTTCCTCTCAGTAGAAGCAATTAAGTTTCTGTTATTGTTGGCAACAGACACAGAGATGGGTCTAAAGTTTCTTGACAAGATGTAAGCACAGAAAATATTGGCATATGAGTGCTTTATACTCCAAGTAGAGCTGCAAAAATAAAACTCTGAGGTATATCTGAAACTACTCAGGTACATTGTCAGCGAGGAAAGAGGAGAAAGCTCCTTCTACTCAATTAGCCATACTGAAACCAGGATCAGAGTAAAGAGGTCTTGAACTCCAAACAAAGCATTGGATTAGAAGTAGCTATTTATGTCTTCCTAATAGCCTGAGACGGAAGCTACTATTTATGTGGTGGTAGAGGGAAAACATAGCCTTCTGAAACACATTCTCTTTCCCTCTCTTCAAAAAGATGACAGTAGAAAAAAAATGTGTGCATGTGAAAAAAGTGCAGTATATGTTTATTTAAAATAAGTACTCATACAGAAGGACATTCCTAACACATGAAGAATTCAGTCAGATTCTTGCTACAAGTTATGTTTCCCTCACAAAAAGTAATACAAGCTGAAGATTAGACTTGCTATTTGGCAATGTAAAGGTTGCGAAACCACTATGCGTCTCCATTAGGAGGTACTTTGTTACATCTTATTCTTGGCTTACCTCATGTTACATGGCACCTGTAGTTAGAATATCACTATAAAGTTGGAGACTGCCATATTCACAGAAGTTGCACCATGCTCATATATACTATTTTCGTAATAAAACCAACCCAAGCCTACCCACACATAACAGGTGAATCATCTTTAGATTAGCTGATTAAGGTTTCATCTGTAAAAGCTTACACTTTTTAGTCTATTACATGAGATAATGGATCACAAAGATGAAGCCAACTGCTTCATTTTCCTCTCAAGTTATAGTTTAAAAAGGTTGTTCAACCCGGAGAAGAGAAGGCTCCAGGGAGATCTTATAGTGGCCTTCCAGTACCTGAGGGGGGCCTACAGGAGAGTTGGGGAGGGAATTTATCAGGGAATGTAGTGATAGGACGATGGGTAACAGTTTTAAACTGAAAGAAGGGAGATTTAGATTAGATATTAGGAAGAAATTCTTTCCTGTGAGGGTGGTGAGACACTGGAACAGGTTGCCCAGAGAAGCTGTGGATGCCCCATCCCTGGAAGTGTTCAAGGCCAGGCTGGAGGGGGCTTTGAGCAACCTGGTCTGGTGGGAGGTGTCCCTGCCCATGGCAGGGGGGTTGGAACTAGATGACCTTTAAGGTCCCTTCCAACCCAAACCATTCTAAGATTATGTATTTGGATAGCTTTACACTGAGATCCAAGAGTCTCAGCATTTAAATTACTACTAAAAACCTTGTAAACAGTTCAAAAGGTGGTGTGGGTTGACCCCAGCTAGCAGCCAAACACCTACACAGCTGCTCGCTCGTTCTCTCTGCCCTCCATCCCCAGCAAGATGAAGGAGAGAAAAAGAACAGCAAAAGGAAGTAAACTTGCAGATTGAGATAAAAACAGTTTAATAAGTTAAGCGGAAAATACCAAACCCCCAAATGATGCAAAGGCAATCACTCACTACCTCCCGCAGGCAGACTGATGCCCAGCCAGTCTGCAAACAGCCACCTTGGAAGCCCCTCACCCCCCTCCTTCTTCCTCTGCCCCATTTTTATTGCTGAGGGTGACAATACATGATATAGAAGAGCCCTTTGGCCAGTTCAGGTTGGCTGTCCCAGCTGTGTTCCTTCTCATCTCATGCTTACTTGCCATGGGGGCAGACCAGGAACAAGAGAAAGACTTGTCCCTGTGCAAGGACTGTTCAGCAACACTCAAAACGCTGGTGTGTTATCAACATTGGTTGAGGCACAAATCTGAAACACGGCACCATATGGGATACTATGAAGAAAGTTAATTCCATCTCAGCCCGACCCAGTACTGAAAGAAACCCCAAATATTCAGCTACTAATCTGCATGAGATACATCACATCGTAGCTCACTATTTGGAAGCCCAAAATCAAAAGCAAGTCATCTACTGTAAAATGCTTTCAGCATATTAAACTGTGTGTCAAATTTCTAAAACACGAAAGCAGCCCACCACAGTCAATACTATTTTTAACATTTGCAGTAGTGGCTTTGATCACTGTATTTATAAAACAAGTAAGCCTAATACCTTCCCTAAACATACAACTTTGTATGTGGGCTTGTGGGACTTGTGTCCATGGCACTAAAACTGATCTGTTTTCCTCCTACAGTTTGGATATTGGTATTTACTGTTTACTCCCAGCAGGTTGTAAGCAGTATTGTACAGTAGATATGCATAGATAGAATCATAAATAAAAAAGCTAACAAGGTGCTCAGAAAGGCAGCTCAATGACTTTGCCACTGTGCATGAGAACTCATCATTAGTTTATGATGCTTGCTTACTCTAGTTCCAGGGGAAAAAAAATAATAAATTAAATACACAAATCGGAAGCTGCAGTTTCCATGCATCTCTTCTCCTGCCCATAAGTAAATATTCCAGGAGTGGAGAGCAGAAGCGATGGTCTGTGGAAGTCAGCACTGTCTCTTCACAGAGTTCCTTGGTGTTTGTAGGAATGACTGTTCATTAGAACCAAAATAACTCAAACAAATCCACCCCCAAAGACAGTAGTTTTTATTCATCTACCATGAAATCACTCCTGTTAAGGGTAAAGGTCTTGAGCACCACAGGTGTTTAACCCACTGAAAGCCTTCAGGAGTTAAGAGTGTAAACAGTGCATAGCTTTCTGGCACTTCCAGATGTTTAAAGGCAAATATAGTCCCTCATTACCCCTCGGGGAAACTATTCCACACCTCCAGAAAGTAATAGCAGGAGAGCCAGTAGGAAGGTCTCCATAAACAAAATGAAAAAAAGGCCACTGCAGACTAAGACTGCCCACAAAAATCAACCTGTAGTATTTAGCAATTCAGTTTTACCTGTAAAGGCCACTCCTGCAGAGCAGACCACTGTGCAGGTCAGTACTTGCAGCTCTGCATCCCAGGAGCAGGAGCCACTCTGGGGCTCCATCCCAGGGGAAAGTGCCACACCAGCAATTCAAGAGCTTCTCTCCATGCAGCAAGAGCTTTCTAGGAAAGATTGGGTTCACTTATAGTCAGATTTGAACACAAGCTAAACAAGATTATCTGTCCAGGGTTTTAAAAGCAGCATTGCTCACTGAAGAGATCTGTCATGAATTTGAGAGGCTAAGGCACAAGTGAGAGTGATCAAGGCCATGATCTTCCAATGTCCAACTTAACACAAATCAGGAAGGCTCCACTTCCAAGTGAGCTGAAGCCACTTTAAGGCATATGAAGGGCACAGTGAACACTGATAACGGCAGCTGTCAGAGCTGTCAAAGAGACTTCTTTCTTGTTAATACATGCAGGAGACCCAAATTTGTGTTCTGAGACACTGGTGAACTGAAAAAAACAAACCACCAACATAGCTTTGTTTGAGGCATCAGAACTTTTACAGCTTGTGCACAGCTCTATCGCTTGCCACGGGCCTCGATGCAGATGTGCCAGAACCACCAGAATCGCTCAGGCTCTGCCCTGGGTAGATGTTTCTCAGGCAGGCTTCACTCCCTTGGAAACGAGCAGCAGCAAAAGCAGCAGCCCCAGCTCCCCTTCCCTCTCTCTGCCTTCCCTGCAGCAGGTCAGGCTAGCAGCAAACAGGAAAACTCTCTGTTCCACGGTGCTACACAGCAAGCAAGCTCTCTTCTAAATATAGCCCCATGGAAATTTCTAAACTGCAAAATAAATACAGTTCTTCCTGGAAGTTATGCAGGAAAATGTAGGTTATACCTAATATTTCATGGTAAATGTAGTGTTATTTGACTTCCTTTGTCCTCAGTGTAGCAGATACTAGAGGCCCATTTGAATGAAATTAAAACTTCCACAGAAAGTAACAAGTTAATTTACTTTCTGGGTTTTTTACTCCCTGTCATAACAAAATAGTGATCATCTTGCCTGCCCTTCATCAGAGGACCTTTTGACACACCAGGCGTTCCTTTGTTACACGCTGTTGCTGATTTTCCCTTAGGGAGAGGCTTCTTGGCTGCTGGGGCCAAGCTTTCATTTGCTTGCAAGGTTTTGGTTGAAGGCTGACTTCTTGTGGAAGGCTGCGCTGGCTTTTTGGTCACTGCTGCTTTGGCTGAAGTTTGAGGAAGCCGTACAACAGATAAGGGAGTGCGTTCGAGAGGTTTGGATGAAGTGGGTCCAGTCTGAGGGGGTTTACTGACATTTGGCTGCTTATTGACAGCTGAAGATACGTTTTTGCTTGTAGATACCAGAGTAGGTGGTGACCTTGATGCTTTGCTAACTGCAAGGGAAGGTGCAGAAGCCGAGTGTTTCAGGACTGAAGCCGCTTTCAGGTTCCTTGCCAGGTCAGAAGCTGTCTGTGGAGCTTTCTGAGGATGCTGAGACCCAGTTCCTAAGGTCTGGATAGCATTTTCAGAAGGAGCTTTTGCAAGGAGCTGCTGAGAATGTGCAAACTTGGCAACAGCACGCAGATTTGTAACAGGCGGCCGGGCAGCCCTCGGAGCAACTGAATTTGCTTTGGTTTTAGTGGCAGAGACGGGTTTGCATTTAGTGGCAACACGCTTCTGCTTTGAAGCCGTGGTTTCAGCTGTCCCAGACGAGCGAGATGGCTGTTCTTTAGAGGACGAGAGGGCAGGATGTGGTGCTGCTGCTGCTGAGGAGCTCTGAGCCAGGGAAAACTTCACCTTGGGAGCATCAGGGGACCGAATACGTTTGCGCAATGTTTCAGCGTGAACAAGACCCATCCTCGTTCCTGCAGATGAAGAGCTTTTGCTTACAGGCTGCGAAGGAGCAGAAGCTGCTGAGTTGTGTGCAGGAGACTCCAGTTTCTTTGAGGTGCCAGCTAATGGTCTGAAAGGAGACCGCACACCTGTCCCTGAGGACGCTTGTAATTTGGACCTGACTGTCAATGGCTTGGCTGTGGAGGATGGGGGCACTGGCACTTTTGGTGATGCCAGGGCAGGGGACTGAGGACGTTTAGATAAAGCCTTCTTGGCACTGACCCCAAGAGCTGAAACAGGAGTAGAGGGTTTCGATGACTGCTTTTGGAACATATTGACGGCTGACATTGGATTCATGACAGGAGGCTCCTGAATTCTAGCTGATGAGTTGGGGACATTGTCACCTGTGACCCCTTTCTGAAACGCCAGGATTTTTTGTTCCAGAGTTGCAAATTGAAGCACTCGGCACGGGTCATATTTAAGCAGAAAACCTTGAAGAGTGTCCCAGCCTCCACCAACACGTACCATCACATGTTTGCCATGTAGCATCTGAGGGTGAGGGAAGAGGGGATGGGAACAAGAGAAAAACAAGAGAAACTTCTATCTTGTTTTATGCATTATGTCTTCATCTTACATTAAAATCTGTTGAAATCGACTAAAAACAGGACCTCCTTTCTTACAGAGAAACATTTTGACCATTCTGTCAGCATCTTTATTTAGTATACAGAGTTTTGGATACAGGTTTGATTCAAATTATGGATGGCCTTGTAAGAGTTTTTGGGATTAAAATGTTATGACTGCTGAAGATGAGCAGTACTCAACTATCCTAAAAATTATAAACAGCAAGCATCCAGATTTTGAACGAGCAGTGTTCTCAGGATATTCTATTGCATTACCTTAATTTATATTGCAAGTTGCTATTGCAAATTTAGAAACACCACAGAAAAACATTAACATGCTTAGTTTAGTGTGGCTGTAAAATCAATAGTTGTAAGATCTAATTAGCTACACCTACTTTGAATAGGAGATTGGATGATGCTGTGTCCCAACCTAAATAATTCTGAAATTCTAAAACAATACCATAAAATTAGGTATTCCACTTAAAAGCATTTCTCTCTCCATTATAAATATACATTGGAATTCTGAGCAACTACTTACTCGTATGAAGAGTATTTTATCTCCCAATCTATAACGTCCCTCCGATAAGTATTCAATTGAAAAACGATGGGAACAACTGCAGGGAGGATCTTCTGCTATATGTTTAACCTAGTTATTAAAATTCAAAACATTTGTTAGTATTTTGACAGAATCGTGTTTAACAGTTTATTGAGATATTTAATACAAGAAAAGATACTGATATCTTCCTCTCACACTCTTAGACACTAGATTTTTATTCCCTCACAAGAAAATCCCCGCTACATAGAGCTTCAAAACGTAGAAGACTCGAAGAAAGAACAAACTGTATGTACAGACAAATATTTCAAGTCGTTCTAATCCAATTTTATGTATTTCTGCTTTTTTAAGATTTGTATGTACCACTGTCTGTAACACTGCATAGTAGCGTGGAATTCCAACCATGACCTTGTAAGAAACTGTTACAGTCTCTAGAAATTGAAACAAGTGCCTGGGTCTCTCCTGTGACCGAATCCATCTCAACATTCTCCTCAACTTTTTGTAAGGCTTTTCTAAGTCAACTTTCCATGTGACACCTGAGAAGGAAACCACCGGAAAAAAAAAGAAAGGTAGTCCCCAAATAAATCCAGGGTTAGAGAAGATGTATCTCTTACAGCCACTTAGAAACTGAACAAATTGAAAGGTCAAGGCTATTGCCAAGCAGGAGAAATTGTAAGACTTTTCAGACAGTGCAAAAGTCTGGTGGCTGACATTCCCAGAATGTCAGACGAAGAAACAGTTTTATATTGCAACACAGAGGACCTTTAAAATAAATGAATTTTAAAGTCTCGACACACATTTTTAAGTAAAATAGTAAAGTTGTTAATCATTCCTTTTGGACCAATTCACAAGATGTACAAATCATTTCCTTTTCTGCATACATATTAATTTCCAATTGATACAGCTAGAGAAATTTTATTTAAAGTCTTTTCCAAAAGAGTTTCATCAAAGTCTACTTTAATATTCGACAAAGTTTTATGAAAAGATCAAACTGAAGAGAAGTATATGCTACAGTCATAGATTATTGACACACCTGAAAAATTGAATGAGATTATTTCTTATACTCACAGAAGCAATGAAAGGTGGAGGGTGGATGGAAATCAAGGCAAGTTATATGCACTGATGCATTAACTCATATACATATATATATACACATATAACAGCATTTTGCTTACATTTTCCAAACAAACAAACAAAAAAAACTTGTTCAAGAGGTGCATACCCTTCTGTTTTCTATTTAAGGAGGCTCACAAATTTTAGATGAAAAACAGCCTTTGTTTACTGAGCCAGATCATGCAAGTACAAAACTTTTTGAGTTTGATTTAAAGCCCATGAGCCAATAAATAAGTAGTACTTACTGCCTCATGTAGCTCCCCGTGGTGACAACATGACTTTTCTGTACTAATAGGCGATGGTGGTCCAGAGGTCATCAGCAGTGTTTCTTCTAGCTCAATTTCCTTCTCTAGTTTTACTAGTACAGGAGGTTCAACTCCATACCTCAACACAAAGACAAAAGTAGAGAGTTTAATTGCTAAAGAAAACAAAAAGATATTGATGATAACAAACACACAAAATTCTGAATAGTTTGACTGACAGAGAACAGCACTACATCAGTCAGAGGAATAACAGCCTTGATAATGCAAAAAGAAGGAGCAAGTCTTGAGTTTCTAGCAGAAGTCCTCTCCAAAGGTGGTCTTGAAGCTACCAGAGAAAGGAGTAAAAATACTGCCAAAACTACACAATTTAGGTCACATCCAATTCAGACCAGCTATCTTAAAGCTTCCAGATATGCACTAGAAATAAATTAGAAATCTAAATTTAGAGAATAATAAAGAGTTATCTGCCAAAAAGCTTAGAAAATGAAGACCTTAAAACTGTATTTAATGTTGAGCGAGTTCTCTCAAGATGTACTCTTATCTATTAGGTGAATACAGTGTTTAAACATAGAAGTATAAAAACCAGCGTGGATCTGATCACTTCTCCATGAAAAGAGTCTGATAAATATTTGAAAATACTCATTTTGTACAGTGGTCCTAGAAAAGCTACTCATTATTCTCTGCATGGAATTAAGCGCAATGCAGTAGATGTTAATTACTGCACATTATCTTAGCTTTACATTAGCTTTTACTTAATAGAGTATGTTCTTCAATTTCTTGTTAAGAGTGTTTATGGATCAAATACCTGGATACAATGCGTCCAATTTCCAACAAACAAAGATACACTTGTCTTGGATCCTTGTGCAAAACTAAAAGGGAAGAGAATAAAAGGGAGTTACAGCTCATGTTTACTGTGGGGAGGCCTGTGCAACTAGGTACAGAGAAGAGAAGATAAGGAGTAGGTGACTATAACTTTGCCATTATTCTATCCAGAGGCAAGCTACATTATCATGGATAAAGCACTGTATGTTTTCCAACTCTAATTTTCTATTCCATAAGGTGTTTAAATCCATCCTGGGACTCCTGAAGTCACTTTTCTCCACCACTTTATTCGATTTTATGCTGTTCGTTCTTGATGTGATCTGCAAAGACAGAGATCTGAGAGCTTTCCCCTCCCTACCCCCAGATATATTATAGTAGTTTTAAAGATGAAAAGCATTCCACAACTGCAAATAGGAAAACATACTCCATCTGTTTGTGCTTGCGCATACAGATAGTCACACACTCTATAGGTGAACAACCGTAGGAGAATAAACTGCAAAGAATCTAGCTGACGACTGGATGGCTATGCAGCCAGCCAGCCTAGGTGGTTTAAACACCTGGCTGTGAAACAACAATCTGGGTGATTTGTTACCACTGCAGTAAGCAACGGATCCTTTTCCTTATCACTTTAAAAGTTCTGGGCACCAGCTGGGTCCATCCATATAGCAGATTCACCCAGTTGCACTAGAAGATACCACTTTGCCAGTGGCAGCTCCCCTACCCTACGCTATATCTTCATTTCAACCTTTGTTATCAGCCCCCACCTCATGCCCCATTCACCCAAAGATTTTCTTCAGAATTTGGTATCTTTGTGAGCGTCTCAGGAAGAGGGTCAAAATCCCCATACGCAAGGAGGAGGTAAGAATGACATTTGTTTAAGAGGCAAACTCTCAGCTGCAAACATCAGATACTGCCTGTGATCACAGAAAAGATGCAACAGTATTTCAGACATGTTAGTAGCACTAGAGCTTTGCAGTAAGCTTTGCTGTACCACTGTACTTTGCTGTAAACTGTACCCACATTTTCCCAGCTAGTGCCCAACGCAGAGGCTGCTTTGCACCCCTCAGTTCAGAGCAGCTTTAACAGCTGCATGCACTTGACTCCACAGACACACTAAATCATGATCTGGAGAGCTGAAGAATGAGATGGAAGAGTGGAGGGATAGCCAAACGGTGTGTAAGCAGTTGTTCTGGGTTTTCTTGACAACCTTGAAATGAAAACATTCAATTATGTTTACTGCTGTACTGTAGAATAGAAGAGGCAGGAGGAAAGCAATCTCTGTTTTGGATTCTTGTAACTTCCATCTTTAGGTATGAAAGAAAAAGAAGAAAGAAACAAGGCCAACTACGTACACTGCCTAATAATTCAGAAACCAAAGGCTGGGAGAAAGGTCACTCAACTCCCCTCCGCACATACACAAACACATGGTGCCATTCTTTCCCTCACCACCATCAAGTATAAGAAATGTGAAAAGCTGTAGATACAATTTTCATATGGTGTAACATTTATATAAACAAATCTGACTATCTTCATACTGCGCAGTAACAATATTTAGCAGAAACTGGAAATTCACTCCAAAGAGAAGCCTAATGAGCCACCTCTATATTTACAGATGAAATCTTTCTGATGTCAAATTTGATATTTAAAATGGCTTTGCTTTGAATAAGACTGAAGTGTTTCCTAAAGTATAAACTGAGCATGAAGCCAGATGTTCTTGTTTACACCATCTACTGCAGTTTCAAAGTGTACTTTTTAAGAGATCTGATTATGAAAGGTAAATCTGGAAAAGAAAGTTGGCACAGCTATAATCTAAAAAGTACCAGTGGTCATTTAATCTTTTTTTTTAAGTGAGTTTTTTTGTCAGCTGTAACAGAAGAGGCATAATTTGCCTGAATCTAGAAGAGAAAAATCCCTAGCAGAGATCAAGATATTTGGCTTGATGTCAAAGGGCATGATAGCTACTCTCCCTTTCTGCTGTCTCAGGACACAATTTATTTCCATCACAGCCGTCAACACTTTTCAGGAGGTGTTGCTACATGTATCTAATCAGAAAAGAATAATTATCAAGTTGTCTTTCCCCCATTTTATTCATAAAGAATAGCTTGAAAGTTTGATGGAAAACATCAGTGGAAAGAATGTTTCATCAAGGAGGCTGCAAGTCGGCTCATTCCAGCTGCCAAAAAGGCTCACAGAAGACATTTATGCCACAAAGGGAGCTTGTGTCAAGAGTTACAATCAGACTTCAAAACAGTTCTTGTCTATGAGAGAAAGCCACAGCATTAGGAAATCTTGTCTGCTTATCTCAGGGAGGCTAAACAGGTTCTAGCTACCCATCCACTTACAGGAACTAAGATATTTAAGCAACGCAATTCATACCAGTTGAACTGAAAAAATATATTAAAATTAATTTTCTTATAGCTCAGTTCTCCCACTCATCTGTATTTCATGACACTGAAGAAAAGATACACTCCCTAATTAAATCAGAATGAGACATGCAAATTTTCTCGACTATTTTAAAAGATGACTTATCCAGTAGAGAAGGCACGGCCAGTCCAACAGGCAGGGAGGAGATCTTAACAGAAAAGCAGTTAATGAAAATAGTGCCTCACATTTAAATAGCATTAAATGGCACAAAGACTTCAAGAAAATTTAGTAAATATTGTGACAAATTCATTTGATTACTGAAAACAAAAGAACTTTGCAATTTTTTTGCTATTCTGCTTAACAGACAGATACTGTGCCTTTTTTAAGGAAAAAAGAAAAGCAAAACAACAAAAGAACCCAACAGTATTTGGCTTGCCACAGAAAGTTTTGGATTAATTAATTTTTACTGACATAATAGCAGGTAGAAGAGCATTTCATTATTTACCACGCGATGAAAGCAGAGTTTCTCTTAATTAACAGTGAAAAAAAATTTATTCCATCTGGAAGTATCCTTCTAGAAGCTGTTTGTTATAAGGGACAGACTGTGCATTGCAGCAGGAATACACACAGTTGGCAATATTTATTTTTATAACTATCTTATTTAATCGGAAAATAAAAATGGTTTAGAGTCATGTCAAGTAGGTCCTGCAGTAAATGTTAATTACCAACAGACTGTTGCCACTTCAGGCACAGTGCCCTGATGTAGCTACCAAATTTAGCTGTCATGAATGCATTATTCTGAAGGCTTTCTGCAACAAGAATAAGCTCCAATACCAAATAAAGGATCTTATTGTGAGTTGACTCCGTGGCCCTGTGGTCTTCCTGCATAGGGAAAAGGAAACCACACGTTTCTCCGCTGTTTCTCAGTGGGCCTTTTTACTGAAGGAAAACATGGGAGTTTGCTGCAGTTCTCACTCCTCCCTTCCTCCCACACGGCAACTTTTAGAAGTTTGGAAAAGCATCATGCAAGTTAGAGCAGTCACCGAACTGATTTTTCAAGGCTTTTATGTGAACACTGCCTTAAAATAAATAAAAGCATTAATAGCTTGCAGAAGACAGGTACAGTTGTGACAAAGGCTTCACAAAAGGTAGTTATCCACATACAGATCAAAGCAAGTCTTACAAAAAGATAGATTTACCTAAACCTTCAGATTCAAAGAGATAAGTCTCATCAACTCCAATGGCCCTACACCAGTTAAGAAAGTTGGCCGTGTTATCTCTGGCAAAAAAAGATCCTGATGGAGCATCCTTCTTACATGGAACTTTTCTCATAGGAAAATTCTGGTGAGGGAAGAAAACAAAAAGTACATTGTGCACATCAACATTGCCAACAGATTTCAAAGCATATTTTCACAGGAAGATAAACCCTAAACTCAGAATACAGAAACAGGGGTTAGTAACTATTTTGTGTTCAACCCACCACATATTCTACTAAAAAAACTAGGCTACTGTAGAGGGTATTCCATCTTAACACTTTTACTAGATAAAACCAAAAAAAAAAATGGTCTGTATATGGTGAAACAGCTCCTCCTACCCCCAAGGGAAATACTACCAGAGTACAGCAGCTGGTGATCTACTATTTGACAAATCCAAGCATTTCTTTAGCTATTCAGGGTTCAATGTAGGTTCAATTCTACATTGAACATATTAGACTTGCACCAGTGTTACATGGTTTTGTACTCCAAAGGGACAGATCAGCGTTTTTCATTGTACAAACACAGACTGGAAGTTGCTTGAAATTCATGCTTCAACTCAGCCTTGGTTCCTAACAAAAACACTAAGGCCCACCTTCAGGCACATCTCAACAGGGATATTTTCATGGCTAACCTATATGCTAAAGTTTAGCCACCAGTTTCTGGAATAAAATATTCTACCAAGTGCCAATGGATAATCTTATTACCAACCCACACTGATGTTATTAGGGAACAAACTCCAGACTGGGACTAGATCTTCCTCTGGCAAGACTTCTACTGATATCGAACCAAAAAAACTAGTAAGGACCTTAGGATTTGACTAAGAAAGTGAGCCATTTGTTGCATAAGGAGAGTTTATCTATGTGTAACACCCCACTGTTGTTAATCAGTCTCTAGATACACAGCACACAGAATGCCACTTTGGGAAGCCTCACTCACCTACTTTCCTTTTACCACCACTTACAATTAAAGAGTTTATATATGTATTAAAAATCACAATATGACTCACCCGTAAGCTATTTGAACTACAACATTTTTTAATTGTGTTTTGAAGAACACCAACCAATTGGCAGAGTAGAACCCCATTATCAAGTTCTTCAAGCAGCTGTTCTGCTTTGACTTCTATTCCTAAAAAAACAGAACGTCAATATTAGATTTACTCTGCAGAAGGTAAAGAAGTTTCTTATCAGCTTAGAGGCAACTCAAACAGCATTACAGTGTTAAAGACTGAAAATTAGTAGAAATACATAAGTAAACTAAAATAAAATATCCACTTAATTTGATTTTAATTAGACTAACCAGATTCAGAAATATAAATTAGAACGATTAATCATCCTACCTCTAAGAGGTGGTAGCTAATAAAATCCAAAACCAAAGCATGCATTTTAATGTAATACTCCTAGCCATTCAGGCTCAAATACACCAGATCTTAATAGTAAATAGACATTAAGCGTCAACATTGACTGGAATATTGGAAAGCGCTTCGAAATTTATTAGACGGGGATTTATTTTCAACCTCACCCAGCAAGCCAGACAGCCAGATGGACAGATCTTCTTGCATAGGCACCAAAGTTGCTTCGTGCCGCACAGATATCCACTGGTCATACAGGCACACATCTGCCAAACCTGGCCCATGTCTGGGAGTCAGAGGACATCGGGGACTTAAGGGAAGGTCATCTCCAAACCACACCTGCAAAAGGTTTCAGTAAGCTGAAGACAACAAGCTCTAACATTTGCAGTCAGATGATGAAAACTTGCACTTCTGAATTACGCTAAAGGTCTATTATTTAAAGAGTAAGTGTTCATTCCCCTTCAGACAGATCACCCAACCAACACAACAGTAGTCACCAATAGTGCGGCTCTCATTAGTAACCGCTGCATCAAAAGTACTACTACATTCATTCTCATGACTTCTTTGGATTTATATTACATAGTTTCCTGAATATTGAATAAAGAAAACATGCATTAAATTTGTGTTTGGGTGTTTTTTTCCCCTAGGGCATATTAAGTAATAAAATCTGCAGTTTATCATGTAATTTACTACAAACTGATTTCTCTGATCAAACATTTCAGGGACATTTTGTGTTTAAATCATTAAGAGGATGATGTTAAAAGAGGAAACATATTCCCGTATAAGAACATAACACACTTCTTGAACATAAATCCTTAGCATTTCTCTTAAAGATTTGCATATTTTCAAACTGAGAAGCAGTTTCAAGAAAAGGACCACACTGAAATTTCATGTACAAGATTCCCAAAGACAAAGACTCCTGGTATTCTTAACTACTTTCCTTCAGTTCAGTGTGTGTATAAAATCTATTTCTTTATTTGCACTTAAGTGATTAACTAGAATATAGGAGTTTTAAAAACACCTCTTAATCATCAAGAAAGTTTTTAAATAACCTCAGCCTTTGACTTCAAAACCTTCTTAGGTAGCAGCACCTTGGAAGAGAAAGGATCACCTATCTGATATAACATTGGATTATCTATCTTATCACCCTGCTCCTTTTGTAAAATAAGAAAACTATTAATCTTTTTTAAAAAAAACAAAAAAAACCCTAGAGATAACTCTGGGGATTTTAGCATTTTATCTGCTTCAGGGTAGACCTTTGAATAAAAGTCTTATACAGAATTCAAACATTACAAAAGACATTTACCTGAATTGCATTCTGCATGGTCATCTGCATTTACATTAGTTTCTCCCCCTGGGGAAAGAGAAGAGATTTTTTTAATACAGTCCCTCTTTCATGAAAATCCCAAGAAAAAAACACCAGTGCTTTTAGCAAAATATGAGCAAGTCTAATTAGGAATGGAAGGGGAAAAGAGGGAAGTTTCTAAGCAGCTAAGGTTTTGATACAGTATTCAGTTCTCTTCGGTTCTCTGCCCTTAAATAAATCAGCACTTATTGCAGCACAAAGTAGCAACTAACTTCATATGCATAAATAATACTCAAAGGTTTGCATGACTTTGAAGAGCTGTAAGGCATTTACTTTGCCAACGAAAAATATAAATACTATAAATACTTCAAACCATTCTTGGATTTAGCAATGTTGGTATTCACTCCTTCCTGCTCAGCTATCCCAAGTCTATCTTGTACATGCTTGCATACACTTATGAGCATCCTGAGTTTACATTAAATACTTTGAAGACTATGAAAATCTTAAAGCAAGAAAATAATTTTGAAGAATAAGATTCTTCCTGTATAAATACATAAGAGAAATCAATGGTTTTATTAATTTCTATTGGGATTTTCACTTAGGTTTCCAGGCAGCTAGCACATGCCCAAGTTTCCAACAGAACGCTGCAAACTATTGCAGCAATATGTTTATCAGGACAATTCCCTGGCAAAACAATCCTTAAGGAAAGTTTTAAAGGCAATCTGGTCAACAACTTCTCTCCTGAAGCCAACATAATATTTTCCAGCAATGCTTTCAATCATGGGAAAACCCAGCACAAAGTCTACACTGGGCTGGGGCTCAGTAAGTCTCTCCACAGGCTCCAGGTCAAGAGATGTCCATTATTACCCGGTTAGCTGCACGCACACACCCACCAGAGGGAATTTCCTCAGTATAATTCTCCACAGTGGTAGTGGAAAGCATTACAAACTCAAAATGTACCTGAGTCTTGAAAGCAGTTAAAAAACAACTTTCTTGCTCCGTTACTTAATAGCTGCAATAAAACTTCATCTTACTAGTTAGGCTGGAAACCAGATTGCAGACCATAGCCAGACAATTTTAACTCATCTGTTTTCCTTTAAAAAACGAATAACTCCTCTCCCCTGTCCCAGATGCTTAAACTTTATGCATAGACAGTATTCCTGTCTTCTCCATCTGTTGCACAACCTGGCCTTACTACAGCAAAAGGCCAAATAGTCCATCACTGAGGACTTCATTCTCATAAAAATTCTCACCCTTCCTTTTACCCAGAAAGCAGAACGATGCCGTTTCCTCCCCATTTTTCCCTCCCACTGCCTTGAACCTCCCACGCTACATAGGACCAAACATCAGGCACTTCAAACAACTTACCTCCACAACCAGCAAATAAGGAACCAACTTGTTTTCAGACTGAAGCCATTTCCTTGTATCAAGACTGCTAGCACTTCTCAAACTTTATCAGAGATACTTCAAGTGATATCTTTCCTCCTCCTTTTATTTCTAGGGAAGAAAAAAAAAAAATAAAATGCATCCTCTCCTTGATGTCATTCTTTCTTCTATGAATGAACAAGAGAAGGGCAGTGTATATACCAAGCATTACTAATGAGCATATTATGCTTCCCACAGCTTTGTCCAGGGGAATACATTTTCCTTTAGCATAAGAAAGCTATTGTCCCAAGAGAGCTGCAGTAAGAGGCTTCATTGATTAAAAAAATAAATAAAACAACAGCAGAACAGCCAGTAGAGAAGTTGGTCTCATTAAAATAAGGAGCTCCATATAGGCTAACAAGAGCTCTAGCATACTAACTGCCAAGGGAAAACAAAAGGCAGCCTAATTCACAGGGAGCACTCAAAACACGAACAAAGCAAAATATTCACACAGCAGCTATCACAAGAATGCTCAGCATCTGCAGTTTTGTGGCATGTGTAACAAAAACTAGTCTAGAAAAAAAAAAAAAACAGAAAAAAAAAAATTGTGGCACTTGAACTTCAAGGACCTGCTCTTATAAAACACGTTATTTTGTAAGCCCATATGCTAAAGGGCTCTCTAGGAAGTCAAACGGCTTCACTTAATATCAGGCCATCTGAATAACAACAAAAAAAAACCCCTCTGATGATATAGGCTACCTTGCACAAATGAAAAATGAATGCACAAATGAAAAATTAATATAATAACAATTACCCATTTTCAAATCCCAAATAGTCCAGCTCTGAGATTGCAGGGAATACAGATTAACGCAGCCTTATCACTTACAGGGAGAGGCATGGGATGAGAAGACCCAGGAGTCTGCCACCTTCAAGGAGTCAGCCTCCAAAGGCGCAGAAGGTGCTGCGGTGAGGTGAATACTGCAGTACCAGGTAAAGCCATAACCAAATCTGACTTCTTCTAAAACCAGTTGGGTTCCCTGCATCAAAAAGCTGTACATAATGAATCAAAAAAGTATTTGATTTGATTCAGGCAGCTCCAGCTAGAACTGTATGGGTTTCTATGTATCAAGTTTATTGACTCACCTTCATTCAACAAGTATCTGGTGCTCAGGGATCACAGCTGTGAGAGAAAAGACCCCAGAATGAAAATGCACTGTATCATGTCCCACCCATATCCTTAGACCATGCCATTCCCTTTTCCAGGCCAGCTGATATCCCCAAGGAGGGCTCTCTACCTGCTTCACCTCTTAAAACAGGGGAAGCACCAGAAACCTGCAAGTTTTTCCCAACCAGAGGGGCAACCAGCCCAGTTCCAAGCTCAACAAACGTACAGATCCCCCACCTCCATCAGCGCTCCCAGAAAATACCTGATTTATGCTGGTGCTTCTACTGCCAGAAACGCCGCCTAGTAACATCTTACGGCTGGATCAATACAGCAACACTGATTTACTGTGAGATGGGCGGGTGGCCCCAAATGATATATTGGGGAAGGCAGGAGCTGTCTTTGGCTGGCTGACTGCCAAACCTCCAATAAAGGACTAGAGCTATGGATCAGCATTAGGAAATAGAAGTGAGAAAAGCATACCTATCTACTGACACGTGGTATGGAGACAGGAATTCCTCAGGAAAGGGGACGCCATACACACCCCAGATATGACCGACACAGGACAGCCTCGCAAGACCATAGTCTGCTTCTGCTTTCCAAAGATGCCCACCACTTTGCCCCCAGGCAATCTGAGAAACAGCAGAGTCAGCAAATACTAAAGCACTTTACGCAAATATTTCAGGGTGCTGAACACATGTTCTTAGATGCTACACAAGATAGTCTGCTTACTATCAGTTGTATCAGGTTTTATAGATCATTCACTGGGGCCCAACCAGCAAGACATGCTACACTAATTACAAGCCATCTATAGCACAAGATGAACTGAGTCCAAACCCTGTTTTACTCGACTGCACAGTTTACAAAGAAACAAAACAAAAATCCATAACTCCACAGATACCCAAAACATCGATGAAGCTGCCATTGACCTAGCTTAACTGGAACCCCTAAAGGGATTCACAGACTCATTAAAAAGCCTCGAGTTCACAGACTTATTAAAAATACCTTGGGTAGAAACATTTTTACATCTTCACCCTGTGTTTAAGATATATAACACATCATCTTCTATTCCATCAACACCCAAAGCCAGTTGCAACAAACTAACCCAGAGCAGCTGGAAACTGTAGATTAGTGTTGACAGTACCTACCAAATCCCACATTTTTAAACACTCTGAAATGAAAGAAGCTGTCAAGTCAGTATCTGTTGAAACCGACTACAAGACAGCCAAGATTTTTTTTTTCGGGTACACATATCCTAACATGCAGAAGAAAAGAGGTAGGCACAAGAAGAGACATCCAAGGAGCGGAGCCCTACTCTCTCCCATCACTACAGCAATTACAGAGACTTTTGGTTGCAATACTGACTCAGCAGGAGCTCTGCTTCCCTGGGGAGGCCTCAGAGGCATGAAAGAGAGAGAACCAGACTAGTCGGTCCAAGGTGAAGGCCTTTAAGGTGGCAACCAACTCCTTACATTAAGGCACACTCACTGCTCTCCTCGGGGACTGCCTTTCTGCACCGCTCCATGACAGCGCACACAGCACATGGCCGTGAGCCCGCTCTCCCCCTCCAAAGGGCAGCGAAGGCCCTGGATTCACCTGCCAGGGCAGAGAAACCCACTTGAAATCAGGGAGGAGCGCTTCATCTCAATAGCCGGCATCTCCACTGGAGACGGGCAGACGGCTCCCTTACCACAGGAACATCCAGTTTGGGGAGAGGCCGGATAACAGGGGACACGCTACCCCTGCCACTCACTCTCAGTCACAAACTCTTCTCTGCCTCCCGTTTCCACCCCACACTTCTTCCAGCAAAGCAACACTGAGGGGAGCATCACTTGAATGCCAAGAAGCAGGGTGCCGGCTGGCCGCAGTCAGGAGGCATTCATTATGACTTAAATATAAAATCCTGTCTTATTATGAAAGATCCACCCAGTACGTTTAGAATTACAAATGCAATAGGCCAGCTATGCCTTGTAGGTCCTGAAGGCACACATGCACTTTTTCCCCATGTCTTGATCTGATATTACGCCAAAGGTGACACACAGCATCCCTGGCACAGGGCCAGCTTTTGGGGCAAAGAGAGGAGCCAGACGGTTTTCGGCTTACTAAGCAATACCAATGAGCGTTTTAGCCGAGAGCGCTAGGGCAAATTTCCTATAAAAACAGCGCCGCATCCTCAAACGCTTTCGCGAGGCACAGGAGAGACTGGTTTGAAGGGTGTTATGCAAAAACTCTCCCCTCTCCCTTCCCCTGGGTAAGTTTCGCGGCACTTCACTGCCAGCACCGACGCCGGTGTGGCTAACGCGCCCCTGGAAGAGCGACCGAGCCCAGCCCGGTAACCGGCTGAGCCCAGCACCGGGGTCCGTCCCCGCTGCAGGAGGCTCCCTGCGATGCTCAGCACCTCCCTATGAGACAGGCGTAACTGACCCAGCGCCACCGCTCCGGAGCGCCGCGCCCCATCCACCGCCCCAAGCGGGACCCTCGCGGCGGCGCCGGACCGGCTCCGCGGTACCGCCACGCCCCGGTGCGAGAGTCCACCGCCGTGCTGCCGCTACGACCGCCCTACGACCCCCCCGCCACCGCCCGTGCCCGGGCCGGACCCCCGGCACTCACCGGCAGCCGCCGCCGCGCCGCTCTCCCCCCGCCCCGCGCACCAGAGCGCCCCCGCCCGCCTCGCGCCGGCCGCTCCGTTCGAAAGGGCCAATCAGCGCCCGAGGGGCGGGGCCGGGACCGGGGCGGGCGGGGCCGTTCCCGCCGCACCTGGTGCGGGGCCCTCAGCCGCCGCCGCCCTGCCGGCTTCACTCACTCTCAGCAGGGGCTCTCCGCCGCAGCCCCCGCTGGTTTGGGTGAGGGGACTGCGGAGCCGCCCCGCCCGCCTCCCGCTTTGTAGGTGGTGCAAGGGGGTGACGGCCCCACTGGCAGCCTGGGCGTCCCCACGGAGGCCGGGTCAGGCCTCAGCATCCCCCCCCCCGCGCTGCGGCCATACGGCCGGAGGCCTGCTCGGGGGCTGCGGCAGATGGACAGGCGGGTGGGCTGTCATGAAAGCAAGGGCCTCGACGTCCCCTCCTCCCGGTGTCACCGGCTGCCGGGGGAAGCAGCTCCGCTTCCCTGGGGCGGTGGGCGGGAATTCCTCCTCCTTTTATTTCTAGGGAAGAAAAAAAAAAAATAAAATGCATCCTCTCCTTGATGTCATTCTTTCTTCTATGAATGAACAAGAGAAGGGCAGTGTATATACCAAGCATTACTAATGAGCATATTATGCTTCCCACAGCTTTGTCCAGGGGAATACATTTTCCTTTAGCATAAGAAAGCTATTGTCCCAAGAGAGCTGCAGTAAGAGGCTTCATTGATTAAAAAAATAAATAAAACAACAGCAGAACAGCCAGTAGAGAAGTTGGTCTCATTAAAATAAGGAGCTCCATATAGGCTAACAAGAGCTCTAGCATACTAACTGCCAAGGGAAAACAAAAGGCAGCCTAATTCACAGGGAGCACTCAAAACACGAACAAAGCAAAATATTCACACAGCAGCTATCACAAGAATGCTCAGCATCTGCAGTTTTGTGGCATGTGTAACAAAAACTAGTCTAGAAAAAAAAAAAAAACAGAAAAAATAAAATTGTGGCACTTGAACTTCAAGGACCTGCTCTTATAAAACACGTTATTTTGTAAGCCCATATGCTAAAGGGCTCTCTAGGAAGTCAAACGGCTTCACTTAATATCAGGCCATCTGAATAACAACAAAAAAAACCCCCTCTGATGATATAGGCTACCTTGCACAAATGAAAAATGAATGCACAAATGAAAAATTAATATAATAACAATTACCCATTTTCAAATCCCAAATAGTCCAGCTCTGAGATTGCAGGGAATACAGATTAACGCAGCCTTATCACTTACAGGGAGAGGCATGGGATGAGAAGACCCAGGAGTCTGCCACCTTCAAGGAGTCAGCCTCCAAAGGCGCAGAAGGTGCTGCGGTGAGGTGAATACTGCAGTACCAGGTAAAGCCATAACCAAATCTGACTTCTTCTAAAACCAGTTGGGTTCCCTGCATCAAAAAGCTGTACATAATGAATCAAAAAAGTATTTGATTTGATTCAGGCAGCTCCAGCTAGAACTGTATGGGTTTCTATGTATCAAGTTTATTGACTCACCTTCATTCAACAAGTATCTGGTGCTCAGGGATCACAGCTGTGAGAGAAAAGACCCCAGAATGAAAATGCACTGTATCATGTCCCACCCATATCCTTAGACCATGCCATTCCCTTTTCCAGGCCAGCTGATATCCCCAAGGAGGGCTCTCTACCTGCTTCACCTCTTAAAACAGGGGAAGCACCAGAAACCTGCAAGTTTTTCCCAACCAGAGGGGCAACCAGCCCAGTTCCAAGCTCAACAAACGTACAGATCCCCCACCTCCATCAGCGCTCCCAGAAAATACCTGATTTATGCTGGTGCTTCTACTGCCAGAAACGCCGCCTAGTAACATCTTACGGCTGGATCAATACAGCAACACTGATTTACTGTGAGATGGGCGGGTGGCCCCAAATGATATATTGGGGAAGGCAGGAGCTGTCTTTGGCTGGCTGACTGCCAAACCTCCAATAAAGGACTAGAGCTATGGATCAGCATTAGGAAATAGAAGTGAGAAAAGCATACCTATCTACTGACACGTGGTATGGAGACAGGAATTCCTCAGGAAAGGGGACGCCATACACACCCCAGATATGACCGACACAGGACAGCCTCGCAAGACCATAGTCTGCTTCTGCTTTCCAAAGATGCCCACCACTTTGCCCCCAGGCAATCTGAGAAACAGCAGAGTCAGCAAATACTAAAGCACTTTACGCAAATATTTCAGGGTGCTGAACACATGTTCTTAGATGCTACACAAGATAGTCTGCTTACTATCAGTTGTATCAGGTTTTATAGATCATTCACTGGGGCCCAACCAGCAAGACATGCTACACTAATTACAAGCCATCTATAGCACAAGATGAACTGAGTCCAAACCCTGTTTTACTCGACTGCACAGTTTACAAAGAAACAAAACAAAAATCCATAACTCCACAGATACCCAAAACATCGATGAAGCTGCCATTGACCTAGCTTAACTGGAACCCCTAAAGGGATTCACAGACTCATTAAAAAGCCTCGAGTTCACAGACTTATTAAAAATACCTTGGGTAGAAACATTTTTACATCTTCACCCTGTGTTTAAGATATATAACACATCATCTTCTATTCCATCAACACCCAAAGCCAGTTGCAACAAACTAACCCAGAGCAGCTGGAAACTGTAGATTAGTGTTGACAGTACCTACCAAATCCCACATTTTTAAACACTCTGAAATGAAAGAAGCTGTCAAGTCAGTATCTGTTGAAACCGACTACAAGACAGCCAAGATTTTTTTTTTCGGGTACACATATCCTAACATGCAGAAGAAAAGAGGTAGGCACAAGAAGAGACATCCAAGGAGCGGAGCCCTACTCTCTCCCATCACTACAGCAATTACAGAGACTTTTGGTTGCAATACTGACTCAGCAGGAGCTCTGCTTCCCTGGGGAGGCCTCAGAGGCATGAA